TTCCCCCCCCCCCCCCCCCCCAATCCACATCTTGCTCACCTGGCATGTTTGTTTTCATTTAACATCTCTCAAATATCAATTTTCTGCCACCATCAGAGCCATTGCATCGTTCTTCTCAGACATGAGGAACAGCTGATGTAGCCCCTTCGGATCATCAAAAACTCACCGTAGACCCTGGGAATGCATAACAAGAGTCATCTGCAGCTTATCATGGATTATGACAACAACACATGGCCTGAAGTTTCGTTGCATCTGTTCCCTGTACCTCTTCTCACAGGTGTCACTGTCATTTGTTTGCTCCTCTTCATGATCGGGATTCTAGGAAATGTGACGACGATGCTGGTGGTCTTCAAGTTCCGGGACATGAGGACGACCACTAACTTGTACCTCTCCAGCATGGCTTTCTCGGATCTCTTGATCTTCCTTTGCATGCCCCTAGACCTTTTCCGCCTCTGGCAGTATCGGCCCTGGAACTTTGGGGATCTTCTCTGCAAGCTCTTCCAATTTGTTAGTGAGTGTTGCACGTACTCAACCATACTTAACATCACAGCCTTGAGTGTGGAGAGATATTTTGCTGTCTGCTTTCCATTCTGGGCCAAGGTGGTGATCACCAAAAGCAAAGTCAAGCTCCTTATCCTTGTGCTCTGGGCAGTATCTTTTGTCAGTGCTGGACCCATCTTTGTTTTGGTTGGAGTTGAGCATGAGAATGGGACAAATCCTCTGGACACCAATGAATGTCGAACCACAGAGTATGCTATTCATTCAGGGTTGCTGACCATTATGGTGTGGACCTCTAGTGTCTTCTTTTTCCTGCCTGTTTTTTGCTTGACTGTTCTCTACAGCCTTATTGTGAGAAAGCTTTGGAAGAGAAAGAAGAAGGACATTGGGCCAAGGACCTCCATCAGGGACAAGTACAACAGACAAACAGTAAAAATGCTAGGTAAGTTTACCTGATTTTTTTCCAAAACAAGCCTGCTTATTCTGTAGATCCAAGATGTGAGATCCATAGCACTGTCTACTGAACCAATTAAAAATTGTATGCAACATTTTAAGTAACATAGAACATATCTTCCAGATTAAGAATGCTATGTAACGTAAAACAGCTTGCATAATCTTACATTCTTAAGCAGATTTCACTTTACACTAGTTTATGCTATTACATGTCCCACTGGTATATAATGAAAAGTTTGACTCTTCCTCAATGTTTTCTTTTCCAAGTTGTTATTTGACCCAGAGGTCCTGTCCTAGAACACATACACTTGGATATGTGGACAAGACTGATACTCCATCCAAGTGTGATAGAGTGGTTAAGGTGGACTAGGAATGAGCAGACCCAGGTTCAAAATTAAAGATTCCCTCTGGGGTTCTGCAGGGTGTATTTCTTTCACTATCCTCAGACAACCCGTAAGATCAGGTCAAACTTCTGTTTGGTTCACCATGCACAGTGTGATGCCTGAGGCTGTGGTGATCACAGTTCTTCTGGCTATGGCTTTCCAATAACTTTGAAATAACTAGGAAAGGGTTCCAAATTCAGAAAAGACATAAAACATGGTCATATTATTTAAAGGTTCCATTTGCAGAATACTTAACTTGGTTATTAAATTAACTGACTTCCTTGCATTGCACAATACATGGAATCATAACCTTTCCAAACTGTGGTTGAGCCATAAGAAAAGCCTAATTCAGGTTAAAATGAAGAAGTTTAGCATCTTAGGCAAGAATTACTGCTGGATCTTTAATGACCAGATTAAAGATTGTGTTGGGCTAGATTTTCAGGTCAGTCTTACATGTAACATTACTGATCAAACATGACAGTGAGAATCTGGAGATTTATTTTCCCTTAGAGAAACTGATACAAGACAGTTCAGTAGATCTGATTGGGTCAGAATCAAAAAGTTAAATATGTAATGCTGCCAGAAGTAAGAATGATCATTCTTCATATATTTAATAGTGTTTTCCTTAGGTCACATTAAAAATCACATTTCAGTAGCAACTTTTGCAGGGACTTGTGGAGTGCAAATTTTGCACTTCTGCTTCTTACTCTTGAAGGAAAATGAACATATCCTAAATGATAATAGATCTGGTATCTCATTAATTTTTTTTAATAGGCAATATTACTAATGTATAATGTGATAAAGCAAAAGTTAAACACTATTAATGTCACAATCCTGAGCATCTTACTAAGAATAAGCTCTACAAAACACTTATTTGCATAGTCACAATCATAAACACACTCACCCAGGGATGACCTCCATTGGCGTCAGTGGGAGCATCTACATGGTGGTGTCAAAAAGTCAAGGTGGAATCGGTGACTGTATGGTCAAAGCCCCACCCCTTTTTATGTGCAATGCATGTAAAAAGGGGGCAGGCCTTTGATTGCATGACCACCAACTTAACTTTTTTGACACCACCCTTCCCCCCATGGAAGTGTTGACAAATGTTTTTGTCAAGAAGACAAAAAGTGAAGTCGACCGAGCACTGGTGAGAGCCTTTATTAGGACTTACCTTGTGGCAAATACCTTCTCTGCCCTTATTGTGTCTGCAGATAGCTGCCCAAGGCCCTATTTCAGATGACCAGGTCCTTCCTGGGTAAGCAGGAGCCAGGGAGGTCTTACAGAGCCACTACAAGGAATATTCATGGCATCTGTTAGACAAAGTTGCTCACCTTCACTCAGAGTTCGACTCTGGATAGAGTCGGTACATCTGTCTCCCATTATCTGGAAGGAGCTTGAGCTTATTGGTCCTCAGGTAGAGGAAAAGGTCCTCATGGCTGTGAGTTCAGCCACCTGTGTTCTGGACCCATGCTCCTCCTGGTTGGTCAAGGCCTCCAAGCATATGACAGGGTCCAAGTGGTAGTTAATGCCTCTTTGTGGGAGGGGGTGGTACTGCCTGACTTGAAGGAGGTGGTAAAGTTGTCCAAAACTGTTGGGTTCTCAAGAGGCCATCCTTCAACCCAACAGTTTTGGACAAATTTTGTTCAGTCTCCAACCTCCCTTTTTTAGGGAAGTTGTTGAGAAGGTGGTTGGTACTCAGCTTCAGAGGGTCCTGGATGAAGTAAATTATCTGAACCCTTTTGTCTGATTTCAGTGTGGGGTATAGTACCAAGCCAGCATAGGTTGCACTTGCAGATGACCTCTGGAGGGCTTGGGAAGGGGGTGGTACAACTAGGGTTACCAGATATCTAAACAGGCAAAGGAGAGCATGGACAATTGGAAAGGAGGACAAATAGAGTGGAGGGGGGGAAGGACACACCAACAAACTTTCTTGGCATTCACGACAACAATTACAGTGAAAAACTGCAAAGAAAAAAAAATGCTGTCTTGGTGCTGACCAACTGCCTGGAGGCTGTGAGGATCTGGATGGGGAGGAACTGACTATCACCTGGGAAGATGGAGTGGCTTTGGGTTTTTGTTTCCCCAGGGTCTCACTCTGGTTGGGGTGTCATTTCCCTGTAAGGAGCTAGTGCATGATTTGGAGGTCCTTCTAGCTTTGTGGCTACTGCTCAATAAGCAGGTGGCATCCATGGCCAGGAGAGCCTTCATATAGATTCATCTTGCACACCAATTACACCCTTTCTGTCAGCCTTGCGAGGTAGTCCAGACAGGAAGCATGGCCAGAGAAGCTAATTTTACTTTATTGTAAGGTTACATTAACATAATCTTGGAAGTCTGAAAGTACATTTCTCCCCTGTCCCCTTTACAACCTAAGTAACTAGGAAGGGTCCTTTTTGAGAAGCTTGCCCCACCCACATTCCTTCTGTGGACTAAGTTGCCTTTTATCTGACTGTTCCCTTGGCTGTGGCTCTTCCCCCTGTCTCCCAAGGTCATTCCCACATACCATTACACTTTCCTTGCTCACAGTCACTCATGGTTTGGTCACTTCCCATTTGGATTACTGCAATGTGCTCTCCATGGGGCTGCCCTTACAACTGGTTCAGAATGCAGTGGTATGCACAGTGTTGGGCACCCTTAGGTTCGCCCATGTTATTTCCCTGTTGCACGAGCTGCCAGTTTCTTTCAAGGCTCAATGCAAGGTGCTGGTTATCACCTTTAAAGCACTACATGGCACAGGACCAGTTTATCTGCAGAACCACCTCTCCCTGAGAGTATCTGCCTGTCCCACCAGAGCAGATAGGGTAGGTATGCTCCAGGTCCCTCCCTTAAACCTTGCCATCTTGTGGGTCCTTGGAAGCATGCCATTTCTGATGCAGCCCCTGCCCTATAGAACCCTGAAGATCCAACAGACCCCCACCATTTTAACCTTCTGGAGAACATTCAAGACCTGACTCTTCCCCCAGGTGTTAGGGTAAGGTGAGGTCAGAGCAGGATGAGAATATGAAATATGGTTGCAGCACCAGGTTTTGGTTTTTTTGTTTTTGTTTTGTTTTGTTTTTACAGTTGCATATATTGTTTTTATTGCTGGGTTATAAGCTGCCCCAAGTTTGATTATAAGATGGGTGGCTATACAAATGTTTTAAATAAATAAATGTTTAACAAGTTATGCAAATGCATCTGCTAGCACTTTTCTTGACCTAAGCATATTGTGTGAACACAGCCATCACGTTAAATAATTTAAAAAAAAGTTTTGCAAATTCCTTATGAAAGATGGCTGGGGAAAACAAATGAGGAATGGTCTTTCTGTATGGCTTTAGAAAGTCATTGACTTAACAAACTACAATAAAGGGTTTGGGGCCTTTTTGTTCTTGTTGTTTTCAAAACATTTTACAACTCAAGAAATAGTTAACTACTCCGTTTTTCTCCCAAACCCTTTAAAGTACTAATGGCATCATAAGAGGGAGGTAATAATTACGAGAAGTATCAATTTACAATAATTCTATGCTGTTAGTCATTCTTGTTTCGTTTGGTGGAACAACTGCCGATGTTCTTTGCGTTTTATTTCTTGCTTAATTGAAAAAAAAAACAAGTACATGCTAAGACTACTTTGTGGTCATAGTTCTTGCCTGCAGAGGGATCTGTTGCCTTTCAATTGGCATCATTTGCCCTCAGTTGCCATTTTTTCCCCCAGAAGGCAAGGCTCTCTCCCACCTCTTATTTCTTTTTAGAAGAATGTTCCACCAAGCCATGATAATTTTGTTTCCCCCAATAAATCACAATGAGAGTTACAATAAAGCTCTTGGCATTTGAACGGTTCAATAAGCATGTGGCAGTATTAGAGGGCAGTGAGAATCTTGTGGCATCTTAAAATAAAGACTTGATTGTGATAGATATGCTTTCAAGGAAAGAGCAGGAGGAGACACTGACTAATATGGAGAAAAGGAGAATGCTGAAGTGTGCAGGATCAGAGAAAAATAGGTGCACGGTAATGGTTCAAGGGGTTTTGCTCTAGTGGGCATTTAGATATACAAACCAGCCCTTGGTCATGCCATGACATCAAGTGGCTTGAGACAGTGGCTCTGTTCACACAACACACTTGGGTAGTTCAGCTGAAGAGTGTAGCTGTGTTCTTACAGTTTTATTTATGTATGTATTCATTAGCAACCTTTGTCTATAGCCTGCTCCAGTCCAATAGACCCTGAGCAAGGCCCAACAAAATCCAGAAAATTGTACTAAAAACATATGTGGAGAATGAAAATCAACAATTAAAAACAACCACAATATCCAAAGCACCTTTCAATTAACTTAAGAGACAGACACCTTCTTGAATAGTGCTGCTTTGGGTTCTTTTGGAAATACTTGTAGAGTAGGGGCCACCTATGCCTTCAGGGGAGAGTGTTCAATAATATGCTAAGCTTAGCTGTAGTGTTGATTAATTTTTTTGTTGCTTAGTGTGTCATGCAAACCCTCTCAGTTGATAAGTCTATGATATAGTCATGTACTGGGCCAAAGAAAAAAATGGGTCAATTCAATAACCAAGGTAAGCACTGGGTAAACACAGCAAGTGTTGTCTGCTGCTAAACCCACAATGGTTGGGCCATTAAAGCCTTATTGTCATAGGATCATGGCATTGGAAGAGATACTAATGATCATCTAGTCCAACTCCCTGCTGAATGCAGGATTCACTGCAGCATGTCTGATTTTATGAGGGGGGGTGGGGGTGGGGCTGTTTCTCTGGCTGACAGTTCATACAGTCAGGAAATTCCTTCTAATGTCTAGTCTGAACCTCCTGTCTTGTAGGGTTAACCTATTAGCTGTGATCCTCCCCTTGGAGAGTAAGTCCACACCCTCTTTTGTAGAACCGTTCTTCAGATATTGAAGACTTCTCTTCAGTAGACTAAATATAACCAAATCCTTTAACCATTCGTCATCAGGCTTAGTTTGCAGACCTTTCACCATCTGAGACCTCATCTCCCTTTCCCACAGGAGTGACTCAGAACATTTGGAGCCAAATGGCAAATGGTGCCCCTTCCTTCAGTAGCCTTGGTACACTAAACCGGTCAAGTCATTTTGGCATTCAGGGAGAAAATCTCAGAACATCCTCATTGTTGAAAGTGAGATTATAGTAATCATAAGTTAAGGAACTAAAGTTTGTTGCCCTTTCTTAAAACTCAAAACCTGAAACACGAGGTCCCAATCTATTCCACCACCAATAGTATTTTTCCTTTCCATGACAGATGAAGACCTATTTGTCCTCCCAAAATTCACTGAGTGACGGATACTTGCTGCTTTTCTGGAAAAGTTGCTTTGGGTACAGAGATCCAAGTTCTGGCTACTACAGCAATCTGGAGAAAATGACAGGATTATTTACTGATTAAGTGTTTGCTCCCATTATCACTAGAATAGGTATTTGGAGGGCACTGATATGACCTGCAATGTTATATTGGCAGAAAAACTGTATGGGTGTATCCATGAAGTCACCAGGAATCAAGCTTGATTTGAAGGTGATTTTAATCTACCTTATATGACTTCAGGGGAGTAAAGGGATTGAGGATATATCTTATATATTTGCCAGATTTATGTCCTACTTTTCTTCCAAAAACTCAAGCCAGCTTACATCAGGATATCATCTCTATGAATAGTTTGAGCTGAGAGAGTGACTGGTTCAGAGTCACCCAAGGAAATGTCTATGTAGAGGATGGATTTAAACCTGGGTCTTCCTAATGTAACACCCTAACCGCTACACTACATCGATCCTTGTAACCACTGAATTGTGTGGATTCATGGCATCTCTTAACAGGCTGATCATCACCTTATTCATTGTCCTGATACATAACCCATCCTTTTTATTTTCAGTAACTGAAAACACAGTTATATCCCAAATGAAACAATCTCTCTTTTTCAGTTGCCAGTTGGAATTGTTATGAAATCATTGATATATCAAGCCCATTAGCATTAAGGTAGAAACTTCTACCACAGACAAGATACACGTGAAAACTTCCACGGTTTTCCCAAGAAATATTTCCATCTCTGGTTACCTATGTTCTATGGTGGGACCCCAAGGCAAGTTATTTTCTCAGAAGAACATAAGAGAAACCTCCTAGTTCAGACCAAAGTCTATATCCTGCTTTCCACAAGAACCAGATTGCTGTGAGAAGCTTATTTAATAAGAACTGGTGTTGAACAGCATTTTGCCTCTGACTCTTGAAGTAATATATTGCTGCTTTAGCTTGTAGCTGTTGCTCACCTTATTTTCAAGTGGCAGTCACCAGTGATCTCACTTGTGATGAATCACACAAGGTAACTCTATACTTGGTGGGATAATTATGCCTTTTGCTTGTCAAAATCCTTGTCCCTCAGCATCCTGGCTTTGAGCACTTGAAGATAACTTGTGTTCCCCTTTCCCCTTTTCTCCATTCTGTGCATAATTTTAGGCACTTCCACATTATTTATCCCTACTAAATCTCTATTCTAAACCTGATTCTAAATAATCCCAAATCTAGTTGAAATCAATGAAGCAAGTTAGTCCAGTTCAGTTCATAAACAAGACTTAGATGCAACCGAGATTTTTGAATAAGGTTGTGTACGGTGGAAAACAGAAGCTTGCATGCTACCTGGTTTACTGTATGTAATGGGACTACGTGGGCTTCTCCTATCTATTACAGCTCTTTAGATACCTGTAGGAAGTTGTTGTAAAGAATGAGGGACTGTCCAGAGTAGCTCGGTATGTGAGATGATGGCAGAGGAAAGATTAGATCACAATTTTTTTTCTGTAAATGAGCAACAGTGGTGGTCTCAGAGCTTTTGGGGCCCTGGGTAGAAATATCACTGAGGAATGACATGGAAGATTGATTTTGACAACATATCAGCACCTTACCAATTCTCATTTTATTCTCAGATTTCTAACCCACAATACGCACATGAAAGTACAGTTATAATTCATAAAAGAAATGTTATAATTTGTAAAGTTTAGCAACTAAAAAAGGACATCCTGATCTTAAAGAAAGACAACCTTCCTCTCCATGGTTAGAGTGAGGAAATTAAAGTCTGAATCAGACACACCAAAATGGCACCACCCACACACACCCGCATGAGAGAGAGAGAGAAAGAGAGAGAGAGAGAGAGAGAGAGAGAGAGAGAGAGACTATACAATTGATCATTGGAAGCCAAGGTTTGCAGAAGGACAAACATAAAAGTAGATCTTTCCCCCAAATAGCCCAACAGGCATAGAATATTGACTGATTGGGGTAGGGGGTGGGATTAAAAAATGAGGGGGAACACAAGACTGCAGTAGACTGCTTTGTGTTCTGGATAGCCAACATTTCATACTGCAATGTTTTGATGCAGGGTGTAATTATAATTGGTCTACATTGCTCTATAAAGGAACAACATTGCAGAAGCGAGACAAATGCATTGAAGCCCCAGCTCCTGACCCCTGAGTGCCCTGCCAACCATCTAGAGACAATAGTGAGGGTTTCAAACTGGTGAGCCTGCAAACCGCAACACACTTGTCACATCTGTTCAAAGAGGTTTTGTGTATTTTGTTTAAGATTTTGAAGAAACACTTCAGTAAAAATGATAAAATAAGATACCACCATCTTCTCCATATTGCTGATAAGAATTCGAGAGGTTAGTAGCTGCCCAAGGCCAGAAACTTTTCCATAAAGCCAAACAGGCTGATAGATAGCAAAATATGTAGTAGCTTCCATGTAGTAGCAAGGCTTATGGATGAGAGATGAAGAAAGGGAGCAATCAACATTGGTTTCCTTTTGCACCTTTCTTCAATGGCATCTTCCCAGAGGCTTGTTCTAGTCACTGTTCTCTAGAGGTATGTTTGATGCGTTACAGGGAAAACCAAGAAGCAGCTGGAAGATATTTGTTACAGGAAGAATAGTTGAAGCATTCTTTTTCTACCTGCTTCTTCTTCCCAGATGGATAGTCCAGATTCCCAGCTCAATATCCAGTTTGGTCTTTCTTTCCTCTGTGTCTTGAAACTTGAATTAAAAGGAGAACGCTTAGCAAATATTTTAATTCACTTTCATATGCATCTGCCCTTTCTCTCTCTCTCTCTCTCTCTCTCTTTTTTTTTTACTAGCGGTGGTGGTTTTTGCTTTTGTCCTCTGCTGGCTGCCCTTCCACATAGGACGCTATCTCTTTTCCAAGTCCTTCGAGGTGGGATCCTTGGATATCGCCATCATCAGCCAATACTGCAACATAGTGTCCTTTGTTCTCTTCTACCTAAGCGCAGCCATCAACCCAATCCTGTACAACATCATGTCAAAGAAATACCGAAAAGCAGCTTACAGGCTCTTTGGAATCAAGCCACCAAGGAAGAAAAGGTTCTTGGTGATGAAGGAGAGAAGATGCCACACTTGGACGGAGTCCAGGATCAGAGCAATGTGACAACGTAGATGGGACTAAAGTGTCACTTAAAGCCACTAGAGAGGGGGAAAGATGTTCAGGCTGGCTGAAAGATGCTGCATTTGTTTCTTTCCACGATTGGGAGGGCTTGCGGTTGATAACACGTATGGAAAGGAAAAGGGGAAAAAATGCAGAGCCATGGGGAATATTATGACAGGTGTTCTGTATAAATATATTCATCAGCAGTGGATGAAACAGCTATCCTTTTGAATCATTTCCAGTGCCTATGATTCTATGCATAAAGATGGGAATTGAGATTATTTATTTTTATAAAACACAAATATGAACTAACAGAACCTGTCTTTATGCTATGCAGTCCAGGACGGGGGGGACTAGTCGTGATGCAGTAGCTCATTGAAAAGATGCAACAATCAAGTTGCAGTTGATCAAGACCCCTTCTGCAAAAGGGAACTGGAGATGGGATTGCAGTGGTCCTGGGGATACAGACCCAGTAGAAGGTGTGTTTTTCTGGTCAATATCTGGCAGTGAGAAACTCAAGATATCTATCGTGGCATACCGAGAAGGTAGTGCCCTAGGGAGCACCTGGGCCGATAGATAGGGAATGAGGTCTGGCCAGACCTGATCAACTGTAATGCAAACCTAGGTCGCCCGGAATGGAGGTGGTAGGGGATTGAAACAGACACAAAAAACCTTTCTGCCTTGTTTCGAAAATGCCAAAACACAGCTTTGCACATAATCAATTCTCAGAGGGACATTGAGAGATTCAAATGACGGCTGACATTCAGTTTTAATTTCATAGCAAACATATGTAGCTACTTTGTATGTAACAGCCAAAATGTTCTACTTTAGAGAGCTTTTGCCTTCAAGTCTAACAATGGGAGAGAATGCTAAAACTCTTTAAAAAAAAGTAGTGCCAGGGAGAATGATAGCTCACTTGCAGTCTTTTTTTTTTTTTTTAAGTCAATGGTAGGTAGTGCATTTAACTATATTTATAGTCACATTCACTTGCTCAATTAAAAAAAAAAAACCCATGTAGATGGCTATTCCTGATTAATAAAAGCAAGTAGCAATGAAAAAAGCAGTGAAGGCTTATGGTTCTTTGCAGAATGGCTTTCACCAAACACTGGAAATTTACTGTAATTTAGTTGACCCAACAAGACATCTACTAGCTTGCTTTAAAAAAAAAAAAGGATGTCTGTTTTGTGCAATAGGTTACTCTGATGAATATGCCTGCAGGAATTGCTTCTTATATATTAATGTGGTGGATGGAGGTGATTATTAGATATACTTGTGCAGTGGCTTGATCAAGAATTTATGTTGCTCTAAGGGGTAAGAGAGCCAGATGAGTTGCTTGCAGTCAAGGATAACAATCTTAATTTGGATCACCCCCAGAAATAGGGTGCAAGCTAGAATAATGCAAAAATTCAGTCATACATTTTGGGCTAAAGCTTCTTTATTAACATGGAGTATTAACATTGCTAGAACTTAATATCGGGGATGGGATTGAGTATTATTTTTCTGGTCAATGTGACCTAAACTCTCCAAAACATTGTTTGGGAAAGGTTTTTTGTTGTTGTTGTTAATTTTGGAAGCCAATTTTTCTAAAGGAACTTGACCCCGCTGAACATTTCTGCTCTGAAAATGATTTTGTAAGCAGAAGCTTAAGCTTCAAGATGGTGTCTGAGGTAATACGTTGAACTGAAGTATCTTATCCTCATAAATGCTATACAGAAGCATAAGAGAACCACCCTTTCCAAAATCACTACATCAGGACTTAATTAATGGGAGCACAGAAAATGGTATTTGTTGTCTGTTATGTCTACCTTCTAAGTGAAAGTTTGAGTTCTTAGAATTAGACAGAGATTCCTCTCCAAAGAGATGTCCTCACTAATTACCTAAGCACATTTCCCTCTGAAGCAAGCACTTACTTTGACTTCAAGCTATGTTTGATTTCAGCTGCACAAATTCAGGTGGCCGTTAGATGACAGCATGGTTTGGGGAGTTGTCTTTGCTGCCATCTAATGGTGGTCTAGAGTTTTGCAGCCCCAATATGACAACCCTAATGTATGTCTAGATGTCCTGGTTGGGTATTTGAAGCTGAATTTTAGGAAAAAATTAAGCAGTAAATCCTTCAATTCCTCTATCTTTAACAGGATATAGTGTTTATACAGGTACAGCAAGTAAGATACGTCCACAAAATTCAGTTATTTCAAGCATATGGATATGTAAGTATTTGATTCTGTTTAAATTATCTGGCTCAATGTGACTCATATTTCTAGCTGTAATGCCATAATGCTGTGTTCATGAACTCAGGGCCTTAAAATCTAAATCAGTATATGTATTTGATGTACGTGTAAAATCTGGCACTTTACTTTTCATATTGTTTTTTCTAAAATACATGGGCTGAATCCCCAAATCCTATTATGATGATTTTTCTGTTCAACAGAATTGGTTGTGTCAACTTTGAGAAGATGGCACTGTTCAAGACAAGTACTTGATTTATACTGGATAGGATTTGTGGTTTGTCAAGGACAAGTACTTGATTTATACTGGATAGGATATTCTCTTTGCTACAGCCTGCCGCTCTTCAAAACATTAAATTTTGGGCTGCTTCTGTACAGATGCTGCATTGGAATCCATTCTCAGGTCCTTATTGTGTGTCTGGTGAAGGCTTTGTATAGGCTTTAGAAGGATGATCAGAGATGGAATTCATTATAGTAGATCAGCTTTCCCTGCCCTAGAAATGATTTTTTTAAAAAATTGAACAGTAGTTTACACAAAGAAAGAACTAAGTAAACAGTATTGTGATGGAATGTATCTACGAGGAGGAGAGTGATGTGGGAGATCAAGGACATCGGGAAGGAGGGGGGCATTCCAGGAGGGGGAAGGAGGCAAGAGGCAGCTGAGTCCGCAACAGGAGCGTGGGAAGCGAAAGAGGCTCCAGATAGCCACTCCTTAGAATCTCCCAGGGTATATCCAGTGGTTGATGTAATATAGATTTAGTTTGGCCAGATTCTGTCTATGAGGTGTAAGCTAATAAAGGAACTGGACTGGACTGTTTCATCGTTGTTCTTGTGCTGGGCCTGACAAGTATACAGTGTTATACAAAAAGCGATATGATTTAATAAAAAGTAAATGTGGAGTTGTTGGTGCTGAGTATGTTTGCCTGAAGATGTTTCATTACCCAACTAGGTGACATCACAACTGAACACCAAGAACTCCACAGTTCAACCCCAAGCTACAGATATTCTCTTCTATTGGAAAAAGTAAACAGTCTGAAAGTTGTTCAGAATTTCCATATAGCGTAAGAATTGATAAAGTCACACCTATTGCTGTTAACATAATGAACGTAATCTACTCAAACATGATAAAAGTGTGATTCTTGCCTCTGAAATTTCATTCTTCCAAGCTTGTTGGTAATTTTTTTTTTAATAAAGCACTTAAAAAGCTCTTTTAATCCAGAAATCAATTATTACATTTTCAATAAATTTTCAGTGTTGTGCAATAGTTAGTTTTGCTGCCAAAAGTAAGTAGACAATCTATTGTCGAAGGCTTTCACGGCCGGCATACGATGGCTGGTGTGGGTCTTCCGGGCTGGGTGGCCGTGTTCTGGAAGTTTTGTTTCCTAACGTTTCG